AAGATGGGCAGACAGAGCCACAGAAAGACAGTCAAGGGCTCTAGGAAAGACAGACCTACAGAAAGGTACTGTGCACAAGACAGACAGAAAGACAGACAGGTACTCTGGGCCGGACAGATAAACAGACTGGATCTCTGGGAAACACAGACAAGCAGGAAATCAGATTAAAACAGGCAAGTGGTCCTCTGGTTAATGTGGACAGGTGGAGAGGCAGGGTCACTGAAAGACACTCAGGACCTCTAGGCAGGACAGACAGACAGGGCAACTGGGCATTACAGATACACAGACAGACAGGGCCTCCGGGCTAGACTGACAGGGAGGCAGCCAGAGCCTCTGGGAAGTCAGACAGAGCCTTTAAGAAAGATGGACAGAGGGGCTGGCATTGTGGTGTAGCGGGTTAAAGCCCTGGCCTGAAGTACTGGCATTCCATATGGGTGCCGGTTCAAGACCCGGCTGCTCCAGTTCTGTGCTATGGTCTGAGACAGCAGTAGAAGATGTCCCATGTCCTTGGGTCCTGCACCCACGTGTGAGACCTGGAAGAAGCTCCTGGCTACTGGCTTCTTATCTGCACAGTTCCGGCCATTGCAGCCAATTGAGGAGTGAACCATCGGATGGAAGACCTCCCTCTCTCTCCCTCTCTCTCTCTTTCTCTATCTCTGCCTCTCCTCTCTCTGTGTATCTCTGACTTTCAAGGAAAATAAATCTTTAAAAAAAACATGGACAGAAAGGCCGACAAGTACTCTAAGCAAGAAACACAGCTTCTGGCAAGACAAACACAGACAAGGTCTCTGGGCAAGAGAGACACACAGACAGCCATGGCCTCTGGGTTAAACAGACAGATGGATCAAGAGGGCCTCTGTGCAAGACAGAGCCAACATCTCCGTGCAAGTCAGAAGGAGCTCTAGACAAGAGAGTCAAGCAGGGCCTCTGGGCATGACAAATACACAGACAATGTCTCTGAGCTAGACAGACAGACAGACAGACAGCCTTGGGGAAGACAGACAGGGCCTTCAGACAAGATGAACAGAAAGACAGGCAGGTTCTCTGGTAAATACACAGGGATTCTGAATAAGACAAACACACAAATAGGACCCCTGGACAAGACAGACACACAGACAGACTGAGTCTCTGGGCAAGGCAGACAGGGCCTCGGAGGGTGAGAAACCGAGAGTCAGGGCCTCTGGGTGAGACAGACACACAGACTGAGCCTCTGGGGAAAAGGCAGACAGAGGACTCAGGGGAAGAGGGCCTCTGAGCAAGGCAGAAAGACAGGGCCTATGGAATAGACAGACTCTCTGGGAAAGACAGGAAGATAGGCCTATGAGAAAGGTGGACCAACGGAGTGTCTGTGCATGACTGAAAGACGGGTAGACAGGGCCTCTGGGAAGACAGACAGGACCTTTAGAAGAGATGGACTGAAAGACATGTACTATGGGTAAGACACACATGGATTCTGAACAAGACAAATGGGGCCTGAGACAGACACACAGATGGATCCTCTGGACAAGACAGACAGACAGACAAGGTCTCTGGGTCTCTAGGTCTCTGGTCCAGACAGATACAGGTTCTGAGAAAGAGAGACAGGTGGAGTCTCGGGCAAGAGAGACAGGCTGGGCCTTTGAGAAGTACAAGCAGGGCATCCATACAATATGGACACACCAATAAAGGTTCTCTGTGCAAGACAAACAGTGCATCTGGGCAAGATAGACACCAAGGGCAGCTGGACAATACAGGGACACAGACAGGGCTGCTGTCTAAGACAGAAGACAGGGCCTTTGAGACAGACACACAGGGACTCTGTGCAAGATAGGCAGAGCTCTGTACAGGAGAGACAGGCAGACAGGGCCTCTAGGCATGACAGATACACAGACAGGGCTTCTGTGCAAGACAGCATATTTGGGAAAGATAGACAGACAGGGACATGAGGCCTCAGGGCTAGTTGGACAGACAGACAGGAACTCCAGACAAGACAGACAAATAGACAAACAGGGCCTCTGGGCAAGAGATACAGACAGGGATTCTGGGAAGCAGACAGATGGACAGGGCTATGGAAAGGTGGACAGATGTACATGGCCTTTTGCATGAATGACAGACAGGTGGACAGGGCCACTGGGTAAGACAGATGACTAGACATGGCCTGTCTGAGCTAGCTAGACAGAGAGGGTCTCTGGGCAAGAGAGATGGAGCTCTGGACAGGAGAGACAGACCGGGCCTCTGGGCAAGGCAGAAAGACATGACCTCTGAGCAAGACAGAAAGACATACAGGACCTCAGGAAATAAGAGACAGTAAATGTGGACAAGACAAATACACAAAAACGGCCTCTGGGCAAAAGAGACAGACACACAGACTTGTCCTTTGGGAAAGTCAGATGGACAGGCATTTGGAAATTGCAGACAGAGAGACAGCCTCTGTGCATGACTGACAGATGGGTGGACAGGGCCTTTCGGAACAGAGACAGGGCCTTTAGGCAGGACAGACAGAGAGGTTCTCTGGGAAAGACACTCAAGGAACAGTGTTCCAGGCACAAGGGATGGAGACTCATGCAGCTGGCACATACTGTGCACACAAGGAAGACAGACTTTGAGAGCTGGCATGGGCTACAGAGAGAGGATTTAAAACTGAGAGCACTCAAGGGCACCCATGGATCGCAGTTGTATGCGATGTTGGTAACAGAAACACCACCGTGGTTTCAGGCACAGGAATGGAGCAGGAAGACTGGGGTGACTGCAGGGATGTGAAGGTGGAGATTCTGGGAGCCAGAGAGGATCTGCAGGTATAAGATTTGGAAAAGACAGGAGGGAAAACAGGAGATACCAGAAGCATCGGTACTTAGAGGAATTTAGAGCCTTTAGTGAACACATTAGAATAGAAGATTGACAACTATCTCAGATTCCTGCTCAAGAATTAAAAAGGAAATAAAACCTAGAAGACTATAAAATAAAGGCAAGAAAATGAGTAACAGCAGATACCAGTGAAAGGCTTGCAACAACAAACATACTACAGAAACAATTGTAAAGGGGTTTAAAAGTAATAGCAACATTAATAAACCATCAAGGAGAGTGATTAAGGAAATGAAAGGCAAAGCTGATAAAGGAGCATTTTGAATCAAAATTATTTTTAAGAGTTTCTAGTTTAACAAAATGCCAAGAGGATCTTATTTAATAGGAATAAACATTTCACTATAGAGACAAAACCCACTATATTAGAAAACTATTTTAGGGGCCAGCACGATGGCTCACTTGGTTAATCCTCTGCCTGTGGCACTGGCATCCCATATGGGCGCCGGGTTCTAGTCCTGGTTGCTCCTCTTCCAGTCCAGCTCTCTGCTGTGGCCCGGGAGTGCAGTGGAGAATGGGACAAGTGCTTGGGCTCCGGCACCCGCATGGGTGACCAGAAGGAAGCACCTGGCTTCTGGCTTCAGATCAGCGCAGCGCCAGCCGTAGTGGCCATTTGGGAGATGAACTAACAGAAGGAAGACCTTTCTCTCTGTCTCTCTCTCTCACTGTCTGACTCTACCTGTCAAATTAAAAAAATAGAAAACTTTTTTACTGAAACACAAATATAACATTAAAATAGGAAAATTACTATATCAGCTAAAAAAGTTCATCGATTCATGAAAAATCCAACCAACCAATCAATAAATAGAGTTCCATATGCAAACTTTCAGGGGCAGATTTTTGGAACATTCTAAATATTTAAGAAAGAAAAAAACATAAATCTCCTACATTTACAAACAGTGGAAATAAACTTGGGAAATACATTGAAGAACATTTTTTTTTTTTGACAGGCAGAGTGGACAGTGAGAGAGAGAGAGAGAGAGACAGAGAGAAAGGTCTTCCTTTTCCATTGGTTCACCCCCAATGGCCTCTGTGGCTGGCACACTGCGCTGATCCAAAGCCAGGAGCCAGGTGCTTCTCCTGGTCTCCCGTGTGGGTGCAGGGCCCAAGCACTTAGGCCATCCTCCACTGCACTCCCGGACCACAGCAGAGAGCTGGACTGGAAGAGGAGCAAACAGGACAGAATCCAGCACACAACCGGGACTAGAACCCAGGGTGCCGGTGGCACAAGCAGAGGATTAGCCTATTGAGCCACGGCGCTGGGCCATTGAAGAACATTTTAAAAATGTCTTTTGTGAAGCCAGATTATATCAATTTTGCAACTGAACCAGGGCATGAAATTAAAGATCATCTTTTATGTAACCAAAGTTAAAATGTAAGCAAAATATTATTATAGGAATCAAACTATATGGAAACATAATGTATCAATAACAAGTGAGATTAAATAAAATGTAAGAATGGCAACCTTTCCCAAAGAAACCATTTAAATCATTCATGTAGGTGAAAAAAAATCCATGTGATTACTTAGATTAAATGTTTAAAAGTATACAATAAATTCTAGCATCTAGCTGTAAAGAAACAACTAACAGAATAGTAAAATAAAGGAATATCCTTATCTGATCAAGATAGTCTAAAATGAACCTACAACGAAGAGCACAAGCAGTACAGAGCCACAGAAAGCTTTTTCCCTGGGAGTGGGCTCAGCCAACATTGCCTCTTCTCACTGTCTGTATCCAACATGGCACTGGAGGTGTGGTCATGGAAACACACTGGAAGCACAAGGTTCAAGGATCTACTTTTAAACCACAATATACATAAGTCACACTATGTACGCACAGATAGCTCAACATAATCCAGGCCCAGATACAACATTTACAAAATTACTGGGTCCAAGATTCAAATTACTGGATAAATAAAATTCAGAGTTACTATGTATCACCAAAAACCACACCAAATACAGAAAATGTTATGAAGGCAGACTAGGAAGCAAATAGCAGAAAAAACGAGCCAGTAGAGGACTAGTCTATGCAGTACCTGTAAACATACATCAATTAAAGGAGTATTTAAAAGAATACAAACGGTGTAACAGAAAAGTGAGTTGAGGACATGAAGAAAATAATCAGCAGATGGAGTCCAGAGGCAGAGCCGTGGATTGTACTCACCTGCAGCGGGCCACTGGAGCTTGAAACCGCAGCTTGCTCACAGGCACTGGACAGGTGAGGCAGGAGGGCCTCCAGGAGGTGGGCCCACAGGAGGGCGCCTGCCTGCAGCTTCAGGGAGGCGCTGGGCTTCAGACCTGAACTCAAACCTCCATCCCCATGGGCCCCACCGACACAGAGGATTCTGATTGGTTGCGTCTCCTGTTACGTCATGCTGACTCAGCGGCTGTGCCAACTGTGCCCTCAGCAGGCACCCTCCTAGCAACACCAGGAAATCTCGCGGGTTGCAGAAGTGTTCTGCTGACCGGCGGAGACAGGCGGTGAGCGGCTCAGATCTGCTCTCCGCGGTCTGTCTTCGCTTCAGGACCCGGCAAGGAGGGTGTCGGGACACGTTGGGAGCTGGGGGATGGTGAGTGTGGGCTGGGCGTCAGTGGGGACACGTGTGTCCCTGGCGGAATCCGCAGAACAGGACAGCAGTCAGCCCCAGGCCTCCCCGTGGTCAGCTCTAGACTTGCAGACCCGAGCGCCCTGCTGGGACGGCTCCTCCCTGGACCCTCCCCAGTCCAGTGTAGGGCCTGGGCAGCACCCAGGACCCGGGGCATCCCGACCCGTCCCGTCCCCGCAAGCAGCGACTCCAGCGTAGTCCGGGCCCTGCAGCCCGCGTCTCCCCCGTTGTGCGGTGAGTCTGAGAGCAATAAGAGAACCGGCACTGCACGTGCAGGGTTCCTGCCCGGAGAAGCTGTGGTCTGTGCGCCCCCACCATCTCCCTAGCGGTTCCCTGAGTCCCCGCAGTTTTCTGGCTGGGGTCCTTGTAGCATGGCTCTTCCTACGGACTGAGTCCGTTTCCTGTGCCTGATAACACAGTGCCGCAGACTGGGTAAACCGCAAAGAAAGCAGTTTTATTTTAGCTCCAAAGTGGAGAGGCAGTGAGTTCTCGCTGGCTGAGCCCTGAGGCTGTGCAGCACCGCACACGGCCTCAGGAGGAGCATGCAGGAGACCCCAAGCCCTGGAGAGAACACAGGCATGGGTGTCCTCAGCCATTCTTGAGGGAGAGACATAATGACCGTACAGGACCCGCTTTTCATTCTGAAAATGGGGATTACATTTTCACAAGCGATTCAGATGGGATGAAGAAGGTGTCTTCCCTGAGCTGGTGTCCTTTCATCTTTTGTAGAATCTGGCTGCCCTGTGATTCCTCTTAGCCCAGCAATGTAGGAATGCTCCATGCTTGTGAATAAGTGTCTCATTTTCTTGGATTAACCATGAGTTGATAGGATGATAATGTCTGGAAAAGAAAAGATCATTCTTGACATCTGGGTTTTCTATTAGATAGGAATAGAGGCACCCATGGACTGACCGCCCAGGTGTATGGAGGAGCCTCGGTCAGTTCCAATGTCTTCCTGATCTCATTCACCCCGGCTTCCAGGGGGGACCAATTCCTGTTTTTGGTTTTGTTCTTGTGGTGCACTTTGCACTTTACCACTTCTACTGAAGGGAAATGTTGCTTGGCTTTTCTTCTTTTTCGATTTTAAAACATTTGGTGTGAACTATTGATACTGTGCTGGAAAGACTTTTTTTTCCTTGTTTGCACACTTGCTGCTGTCTGAGGCTGGGCTTTGGCCAGTTCACTTGTGCGTCCCACTGCTTAGGAGACTTGGCTTCTTTCAAGCTTACTCTTTGAAGATGTGGACAATGTCATTCTTGTTCATGATAATGCATAGTAATTTTTGTTTACATAATGGAAAAAATTGGCATGTAGGTTGTGGATACATTTAAATTTAGGAGGAAGTGTTGACATATATGAATTAACTGACATTTTATGGAGGTATATTATTATTGTGATTTTCCAATACTTGGAGTGATCTAATTTATTTATGCTTTTCATCTAATATTAAGTAGCATCTCTGTATGATTATATATTGGTAAATATTCATGACCACTAGTTCTGTATTTATACTGTGCTATTTATGCTGATTATCAGTAGTGTGTTGGTACTATTCATTGCAACTCTAAGTTTTTGACTCATGTAATTTGATGTTCCGTACAGGTGCATACATATAGAAAATTTTTATGTCTTTCAGATAACTGCATCCTTTTTCATTATGTAACATAAATAATCATTCTAATTTTCTCTGATCTAAGGCGTGATTAGTATAAAATGAGTGTTGCTGATCTATTTCATTGAACTGGTGTTTCAGTGTCTTTCTACATGCCTTTACATTTGAACTCTTGGCTTCTTTTTTCTTTCATGATACTTAGCTGTATATCTCTAATTAGAAAAAGTGAATATATTTTTCAGTTAAAAATGTTATTTGGAAACTCATAGAATGTGCAAGTCAATTTCCTAATCAAGCTAATTTCTGTGTGTATTACCTCGTATGCTTATTTTTATCACAAGAATATTTACTATTTAATCTCTCAGTGATTTTTGCATAGTAGAGTAGTGTCACTAAATAGTGTCACCAAGTTGTACAAGAGTCACTTTAATTCATTCTTCTTATGTCCTCAACTGTATCTCCTCCATATGCCTTTATGTTTAAACTGTGTTTTTGGAGGCAACAGTATGTTAGGTCTTGCTTTTCATTTTCTGTGTCAGTCTGTCTTTTAATTGCGTATCTTTGTCTTATAGTGCTAATATTACTTTATATGTTTGATTACTGATATCAGTAAATGTGTTGCAAATACCTTCTAGTTTTAGACTTTCATCTTCCTTCTCTTTATAGTAACTTAGGAAGAACATGCAAACTTAATATTATTTTTGTATTTCTCCATTTTTCTCAAATTATGCTTTGTGTGTATTTTCTGGAAGTAAAGATATTTTCCTTTAATAATATGAACGTTTTTCTGTGCAAATATTAATTTTGTAATCTACCTGTAACTGTTTATTTGTATGGACTGTAGAGGGGGATTTTTATGAGGAAAAGTCAAAAGGAATATACAGATGGTAGGTTTTAAAAGGATTAGTAGAACAATGCCAACTGTCTAAGCCAGGAAAGGGTGTCTCAGGAAGGGGAGCAGCAGAAGGGGTGGTACCCCATTTCTAAGTGAAAAATATATATATTTTCCAGATCACAGATGTTTATTTTTGATCTCTTGGACTCACTGATTAGAGAGACCATCTAGGCAGGGTCAGAAATAAGATGTTGCAATGAACAGTGCCAAGTGGATAAAGACAGGAAGATAGGAGTAACGGAACAGGATCCACATTCAGCTCAGGGTCAAGGTAGATTAGGGAGTAGCACAGCGGAGCAAGAGCAGGAGAGGCAGTCAGTTTAGTTCCAGAAGACTCCATACTGCCCATTTGAGGCTGTTGAGGTCAAGATATGATGCTGTCTGTTCACACATGTTTAAAATGCTCCCCAGCATCTGACACATAAAGGCTGAGATGGATGTAAATTTTGCATATACAAAATTCTTTGTACACTTTATATGATTGCTTCATTTCTGTTAGTAATGTTTTATTGCAACTCAAATAATCATTATGTAAGGATAAATGATAAACAAAATAAGGAATGTTGAATCCAGTGATTTTTAGCTAATGACACAAAGTGTTGTGCTTTAGAACATAGATTGTCAGTATGAAGCATGGATAATTGAGACACAATCTGTCCATTTCCTCACACATTGCTTTTAGTTGATTTCACAGTAGAACAGTGGGCTTGCATGGTTTCAAAAGAGATGGTGTGCAATGCCATGCTTAAAATATTTTTTTTTACAGAGTGGACAGTGAGAGAGACAGAGAGAAAGGTCTTCCTTTTCCATTGGTTCACCCCACAATGGCCGCTGTGGCCTGCACGCTGCGGCCGGTGCACCGTGCTGATCCAAAGCCAGGAGCCAGGTGCTTCCCCTGGTCTCCCATGCGGGTTCAGGGCCCAAGCACTTGGGCCATCCTCCACTGCACTCCCAGGCCACAGTAGAGAGCTGGACTGGAAGAAGAGCAACCAGGACAGAATCCGGCACCCCGACAGGGACTAGAAACCGGCGTGTGGGTGCCGCAGGCGGAGGATTAGCCTATTGAGCTGCGGAGCCAGCCTAAAATATTTTCTATCTGCCCTTCCATAGAAAGTTGCCAGCTTGTGATTTAAAACCTAGGGTAAATGGAACAAATTGTATTCTGATTAACTGACATGAAAATAACCACGGTAAATTAACCCTATCTTATATGCCTAGCTCATCATAGGAGGTACTATCAGTCTCATAGTATTGAAAAGGAGGGCATGCCTCAGAAAAATTAATATTCTGAATATCATATAACAAGTTATCTGTTTCTACCCACTAATTTCTGTTCATTTTTTTACTTAGCTCCAGTTTATATTTCTGTAATCTCAAAAATGTGATATGAATTCATTTCTAAAGAGAAAATATCGCATGTAAAGCTTTATTATATCACACGTTTTAGACAAGAAGCATAACATGATGAAAGTCATGTTGCACATCAGAAAGCAGCTGTGGGACCAGACCATCATTGTGGAACAGTGTGCTAAGCCACTGCTTGCTGTGCTGACATCCTATTTCAGAGTGCCAGTTCAAGTCCTGTTGTTCTGTTTCTGATCTATCTGCCTACTAATGTACCTGGAAAGGCAGCAGGGGATGGCCCAAGTGCTTAGGACCCTAACTCTAACGTGGGATGCAGGATAGAGATCTTGACTCCTAATTTTAGCCTGGCTCAGCCCTGGGTGTTGTGATCATTTGGGGAGCAAATCAGTTGATTCTGTCATTCTGCCTTTCAAATAAATAAATCTTTTGAAAAAGCTCAGTGAAAGAGAGGTAACAATTAATGTAAATGAATTGAAAAGAGATGTTTAAAATTTAAATGTGAAGTAGGGCAATATAACTAAGCTAGAAATCAGACATTTTATTCTTTCATAATGAACAATGGTTACAAGCTACTGTTTGCAACATATAAGATTTTATTGAAATCAGTCCATTTTTGGTTACCTCTGCCATCTATGGTGGCCTTTTCCCACCACAGTGTGTCATGCAGAGGTATAATAAGTCTTGTTTTGTTTATTCTGTGATTCTGTGATTTTTATCATTAGATATTGAGCATTAGAAACTACTGAGATAAGAGCTATAGCACTTGCAATTAGTAGTAAGTGGGTTTGGAGAGGAGAACTGCCTCTCTAGCATAATTTAAAGTAGCATCTATAATTTGTGGCATTTTCTTCCAGTTGTAACTAATTATAGGAGAATCTAGTGTGTAGCAAGATGCCAAAATTTCCAAATGTGAAAACTCTAGAAAGACATAGTTCAATAATAAAATTGTTATTATTTTTACATGTTTTACTCAGAATTCCATTGAACAGTTTATTGTGTTTTCATTTGCCAAAAGTAAATGCTTAACACTTTTTAAATGTTTTATTATTATAAAGAGAACAGATTTCATGCATTTCATAGGTACAATTCTAA